TGGGGTTAATTTAGGAAGAAGTTTCCAAAAATTTTAGCTGTTCAAAAATGGAGCAGTCTGATGCCTGGTCTGAGGTTTGAGAAAGTGTGAGAAGTGAGCATCCTAAAGAAATACTATGAGCCTAACTTGAGGGCAGGGACTGTGTCTTGTTTATCTTGGTATTCTCAATGCCAAACATAGGGTCTGGTGCTTAGCAAGCAGGTCCTCAGTCAAACATCAAGAAATGGAAGAATGAAATTTAAACAGAGGCTGGGGGACTATTTGGGGTGATGTTGAAGAGATGGAAGACTGAACAGAAGGGTAATGATGATATAAACAATGATAAGTTTCATTTATTAAGCCCTTGGTTTATGTTACCATCTTATTTAATCTTCAACAATGCTATATGGCAGTTGTCCCTATTTTATAGAAGTGGGAAGTGCATCACAGAGAGATTATGTAACAAACTACACAGGTATGAAGTGGCAGAACTTAACTCCTCTCCTAGTAGTAAAAACAAAATCATCACTTGTGCATTGAGCAACTACTATGTCGTAAGAGTTTTATACACATTGATCTCTAAGGTGCTTTACAATGACAGGTCCATGATTTCTGGGTCTCTGCCTCCCAGCTTCTTGCCCAAGGCCCTGCCTGGCGTGGGTAGATTGGCCTGGGGTGTTCAAGGTAACCGGCATCCTTAACCACTCTGAAGTCTGAAGAAGCTCAGCCTTCACTGCTCATGACTCCATTGTCTACGCACACGTTAGAAAGTATGAAGCCTTGGCCTCTTCTTTTCAACCTAACAAAAGTATGAGTTTCCTTAGGAGTCAGGCAGCTCCGATTAAGAATGAAGTTTTCATCCTTTCAGTTAGCCTCAACATTTAGGGAAAATGTCAAAAATAATTCCCAAATTTGATCTACTTTTTAATAGTATAATCAACCTTCAGTGGGATGTCCATTTGCAGCTGAGTGGCTTTTTTTTTTTTTTTTTTTTTTGTTGTTTGCTCTGGAAAGGCAGCTTGCCTGCTTGCCTATCTGGCACGAAGAACATTCTAGCCTTCCATCATGTGTGGCAGCTGCAGATGGCCTCAGGAGAGCAGCCCATATGCCACAGGCTATGGCTCCCAGCAACTCCAGCAAGGCCTCTGGGGATGGGGGATTAGATGCTAGTTTTAGGTCTGAGACCAACATATTATGTGACTTTAGATAATCCATTTTTCACCCTGTAACAATACGCACTTATCTTTAACTTTATATATTATCTCCTGTTCTGTACACTTAGAGGTAAACACATGTTTCTTTCCATGTTTACAGCCTATTTCATATTTCTTAGGCCACTGTTAAGTCAAACAAGCATAACTTATGAACTACGGGCATGAAGCAATGCCATTTTTTGTCATCTAGTCAGTCTCTCTTTGAATTTTCTCTGTGGGGCCAATTGTTTCCCTGCCCAGTCAGATGCCAAGACTTTTATGGACCCTCTTAGGTGTCAAAATACAGTCTTCATATAATTGTTCAAGTGTTCTGTCCAAGGTGATAAACTTCTAAAAGTTGTGGCTTCTGTCTTCTTTTAGCGTGGGCCTGCCACAGGCAGGAACCCTACAGTTGGGAAATGGAAGCTCGGTCACCTCTTTCTCTGTCCTGTTGTCTTTTGTTTGAGTTTGTTACCGTCTCTACACCTGTGCTCCCAGCTGGAGAAGTATTTTCTTGCCCCTCTGAGATTGTGGCATTGGAGGGAGGAGAATTTAGAATTTAGAATTTCCAGGTGGGATTCAGACAAGCTCATTGTGCCCCACTGAACTGCAGGTGCCACGTGTTAAACTCATCCAGTGGCCTCCCCAAAGCCTCTTTTGATTGGAGTTTTGGAGGTAGGACTCGTGGCTCTCTTTGGAAAAGACAGTAAGAAAATTCTTATTGGTCTGATATTTCTGTGGTTAATATGATTTCGTCCTCTCATGGGGTGCTTTCAAGACTCTTTCAGATAATGTACCCTCGTTGCTGGGAATCTGTACCCTGGAGTTCTCTTAGTGGGGTCTGATACATCTCTCTTGGCTGGTTCATTGCTTTTTCTTGGCCCATGGGAATCTAAGAAAACCCTCATTTACTTAGTCTGTTTGTGCTGCTATAACAAAAATACCTGAGACTGGGTAATTTATAAAGAACAGAAATTTATTTTTCATAGTTCTAGAGGCTGGGAAATTTGAGATGAAGGTGATGGCAGGTTTATTGTTTGGAGAGGGCCCAGTCTCTGCTTCCAACATGGCACTGGGAATGCTGTGTGTTCACAGAAGGTGGAAGGGCAAGAGGGGTGAACCCCCTCATCAAGTCCCTTTAAAATGGCACCTAATCCCATTCAGGAGTGAGGAGCCCTCATGATTTAATCACCACTTAAATGTCCCACCTGTTAATACTATCAAATTGGTCATTAAGTTTCAACATAGGATTTTGGAGGGACACAGTCAAACCATACTACTCAGTTCTGCTTTGCTGAGGTCTGTTTGTCTTATCAGATTTCCCTGTTTTAAAGGACCTACAATGAGCCTGCACAATCTGTCTTGAGTGTCCCTCATCTCTTACATAGAAGACACACATTTTCTACCTTGATAAATACTAGGGGAGGAGGAAAGGTAGTTGCTAACCAAGCAATTCTTCCTTTGCTCTGCTGTCTACTGACTAGTAAGCCCATCTCTTGCCCTTTAGAATTTCCAGGTGGGATTCAGACACGAGCCCATCATGCCCCCCTGAACTGCAGGTACCACATATTAAACTCATCCAGTGGCCTCCTCAAAGCCCCATTCTTTTGACCGGAAATTTGGAGGTAGGACTCATAGATGAGCTCTCTTTGAAAAAATCCTCCACAATAACCTACTCCTGACCTTTTTATACATTCATTGTGTGGAAGATTTAAGAGTTGCCTAACTTGTGTTCTTTATAAATTATTGGTCTGTTTCCTCTATTTGAAAATTGCTATTTATCATGCCTCAGCCAAAATATTTATTTTAACATCTGTATAAAGATTTCACTTGTCTATTCAACCATATTTGAGTTCCCACTGAACCAGCATGGTCCAATAGAAATATAACACAAGCCACATATGTAATTTTATATTTTCTAGCAGGACAGATTAAAAAAAGAAGGTAAAAAAACCAGGTGAAATTAGTTTTAATAATAGATCTTATTTAAATCCATACACATGAATGTATTATCATTTAAATATGAAATAAAAAAATTAATGAGATATTTTACATTCTTATTTTGCACTAAATCTTTTAAATATGGAGTTCACACTTATTCCACGTTCCAATTAAGGCAACATATTAAGTGTCCAATGGCCACAGATGACTAGAGGCAACTGTCATGGACAGGACAGCAGTAGGCTGCAAGTTCTATAGGCAAAGTTGGGATGTGTCTTGTTCATTGCTATATACCACAGTGGGATACAGCAAGCATCCAATACTTGTGAAATCGAACTGCAATATAATTGAAAGAATGAAGAAATTATCTATCTAGGGCATCCTTGAACACTTCCCATGGAACTTACAGTGTAATTCATTCAATTCTACACACAATTAGTTTGTCCACATAAGTTTTCAATTCATTTATTCCACAAGCATTTAAGCCCCATGAAGGTAGAGGTGTCTTTGTCTTGTTCACTACTGTGGCTCCACAGTCTCCCATAGTTCCTGGTATTTCGATGTGGATATTCATGCAATCAACAAATACTTATTTAGTGTCCATGATGGGTCACTCACTATTTTAGATGCTAGGGAAAGCACAACATAAACACAGTCTCTGTCCTCATGGAACTCACAGACAATAAAGAATAACAAGAGCTATGAAGGAAATAAATAGGGTGATATGATAGGATATGAAGGAGACAGAGGAACAAGGGAGTATGGAAGGGAAGGAGCCAGTCCTGTGAAGAGCCAGGGAAAGGACAATCTGAATGTGTCTCTGCCAAAGGTTGCCACATGGTCCTTTCATTTTCTTGAACACTCCAAAGTCACTTCTACTTTTAGCTTTGTTCCCTTCATCTGTGCTGCCCTCTACCTAGCTCATCTATAGCTGATGTCTTCTCATATCTCAGCTCAAATGCCATCTCCTCAAAAATGCTGTCCCTGACCACCCTGTCTACAGGACTGTCACCCTGGATAACTCCCCATCCTGCCACCACATTTTCCTTAGTATCACAATTTGAAACAATCTTGTTTCTGAATCTGTTTCCTACACCAAAGATAGAGCTATAAGAAATTCAAGACTCTGTCTTGACAATTGCTATCTTTCAGTACCTAAAAGTGTCTCCATGACAAATACGTGATCCATAGTGATAAATAGATATTTATTAAACAAATGAATGAGTTAGCTACAGTCCAAGAGTTGGTTAAAGTCTTTGGGAAATGTCTCAAGGATGTGAATAAATGTAAACAAAGGCTGGGAAGAAACACACTCATTTGTCTGCGGTCTCTGAGAAGGAAGATGAGGTTAACGCATATGGACGTTATTCTCTTTGGATGTCTTGGGCATCTGGCAACCCGAGTTCTGATTCCAGCTCCTTTGAGAATCTGCAGCTACGGACCATCTTACCGGGTAAATGGACATAAACTTTTGCTTATAACCGAAGGGTGTTTGTGGACCTCCTGAAGAGGTCAAAGGTTAAAAATTTGAGGTTACAAATTCCTGGTTAAAAACTATAATTTTTAAGGTTAAAACTTTGTTAAAAATTTGACCTACTGAAGAGGTCAAAGGTTAAAAATTTGTTAAAAATTTGACCTCCTGACAAGGTCAAAGGTTAAAAATTTGACCTCCTGAAGAGGTCAAAAGTTAAAAATTTGAGGTTACAAATTCCAGGTAAAAATTCCTGTAGAAATGGAGATCCCCCAGCAACACAGGGAGGCAGGTGTTCAGTGAGAGAATGCAGGAAGCACTTTTAAATAACTAGGTCAGGTGTCAGGTGAAGGGTGGCTTAGGGAGAGAGGTAGTCCTAAGAAACCCTGGAAACCAAATTCTCTCCCACCTCACAGCGCGCCCCGGCGGTTGCTATGGACGCTTGCCTTCTCCAATCATCACGCGGCTTGCTAGGCTGTGCGGCGCTCTGTGGTTGCTGTGGCAACGGACAGCAACAGCTGCGGGATCCTGGCGGCGCAGGAGGAGAGCTGGCCTCTGGAAGCTGGGTAGGGAGCCCCTCGGCGGCGGCGTCTGAGTGGGACGCGGGGTCTCGGCCAGGAGCGGGATGCGGAGTTGACGTGGGAACCGGGGAACACCGGGTTCGGAGGTCATAGCAGACTCCGTGGGGTCAGAGTGCGGGGGACATGGGGACTGGCCAGGGCGTCCCCTCTTCTCATTCTTCCCTGTGTCCCAGGGGCTCCCCAGACTTTCTGGTCCCCTCCCCTCATCCTCCTCCTTTGGGGCCTTCTCGTCACCTCATTAAAATTAACGGGACCTCACATTTGGCCAGACAAGTGGCAAGGGGCAGGACAGAGCCCTGGGTGTTATCTTGCTTCCAACTTGGAACTGGCCTTGAGGCCTTGGACAAGTCATTTCCCGTCCTCCCGCACCAGGAGAATGGGGTGCCACGACCCTATCTTTCCTTCAGCTCCCTCCCGGCTCCCTTCTCTGGAAGACGCTGTGAGGATCAAATGCATGACCAAACACGTCCTCTCATGTGCTTTGCCTGTGTGGTCTCATTTCACTGCCGAAGGGTCCTGTGAAGTGGCTGAAATGATGAACCCACCTGTACAGTTGAGCAATCTGAAATCTGGGCTCAGAAAGTGCCTCTTGGTCAGGCTAGTGAGTGGCCATTGGTGTGACTCTTAGCCTGTGCTGGCTGCACAGTGTCCTGTCCTCTGTGTACTCACCTGGTTATCTTGGATTTCTTGCTCCCTGCCTCTACTGGATCTTTTCAGAATACTCTACCAGGAAGTTTTTAAAGATGATTCTATCCCATTCTCCTTTCCTTTACTCCTTAAAGTAATTGAGGTCCTACTTCACGGCTAGTACTAACTTAGGTATTTTGCAGGGTAAAAAAAATACTGTAAGTCAGGATCTCTGCTTTCCACAAGCTTATACAATGGGGTATGGGTTTTACTTTCTACGTTAGAGTTACAAGTCTGGGCTTAATTAAGGTCAGAGTTGAAAACAATCAAAAAATAATCCTCAGACTCCCCTTAAGTCATCCAGGAGCAACCCGATTCAGAAATTGAACCATTGAAAAGCTTTAATTCTGGGATTAAGCAAATTTCATAACATTCTAATTTATAGACTTTTCCCATTTATCACCATAAATTAATAGAAGGATAAATTGATCAGTTCCATTATGTCTTTGTTTGTTTAAGTTTTGTCATGGTCTTCATTTCATACTTCATTTTCTTCCTTGAAAATGTTGAGGAGGATGTCACCATTTCTGTGGCTACCTGGACATCACTGTCTGCTGGGTGCATGGGTAAGTCCTTAGAAGCATTGGCGCATACCTCCCGAGGTTTCCCCATCTGCACCAACTGATTGTTTCAGCACTGATGAAACCCACCTGGGCATTCAGGACCACCTCCCCTCATTCTGTAGCAGAGGCCCATGACTAGAATGCCAAAGACAATCACCCAACTATTTAAAAGCTAATATTTTTTTCCCCGCCAAGTATGAACATAGTTGAAATTTCATCATCCTCATTGCTGCAACTCTTTTGGGTTCTTATTGTAGAGATTGCACTTGCCTTGTGTACCCATCAACACTTGATATTATCAATCTTAAAATTTTGGTCTTTCTGATGGGAAAATAATGGTTATCACTTTGTTATAATTTACATTTCCTTGGTAGCTAGTGAGATCGACCAGCTTATGATTATTAACTATTGATAACTGCTCTTCTGTGAATTGCCCGTCTCTGCCTGATTTTAAATTTGGCTGGCCTTTTTGTATTGATTTATAGAACTATTGTCCATATGCTGGATATTAATATTTTGTATTTTATGTGGAGATATAATTAAAATTAATATTTTTTGAGTATGTTCCTAGCTATTTTTTAAAGTCAGGTTTATTGATGTATAATTTACATATGGTAAAATTCACCCCTGTTAGGTGTATGGTTTTGTGAGTTTTGAAAATATAAAGTCATATAACCACCATAATAAGTATATAGAATGATACCTTTAGCCCAAAAAGTTCTCTTATACCTCATTGTAGTCAATCCCTTTGCCCCACCTCTAGCTCATGACAACCAATGATCTATGTTTTCTGATATTTTGCTTTCCAGAATGTCATATAAATGGAATCACAAAATACGTAGCACTTTTTATCTGGCTTGTTTTATTTAGAATATTGCTTTTGTAATTTAACCATGTTGTTGAATGTAACAGAGGTTGATTCCTTTTTTATTGCTGAGTATTTCATTGAATGGATGTACCACCAGGTGATAGACATTGGGTTGCTTCCAGTATTTGGTAATCATGAATAAATAAAACTGTTATCATTCATGTACAGGTCTTTGTATGGACATATGTTATTAATTATTTCAATAAATACCTAGAAGTAGTATTGCTAGGTTATATGGTAAGTGTTTGTTTAATTTTACAAGGAACTGCCAAACTGTCTTCCAAAGTAATCGTACCATTTTGCATTTCTACCAGTATAGTATGAGAGTTTCAATTGCTCCACAATTTTGTTAGCAGGTGATAATTTTGTTAATTTGAGCTATTCTTATAGGTGTTAGTGGTACCTCATTCTGCTTTTAATTTGCATTTTCATAGTGACTAAGGGTATTGAACAACATGTGCTTATTCGTTAATGTATCTTTGGTGAAGAAGTTTGGTAAACTTCTTTGGCAAAGTTTCTGCTAATAATTTTGCCCATGTCTTACTGAGTTGTAAGAATATAATTTTATATAGATAGATAGATAGATAGATAGAATTTTTTGCTCCACCCTCGATTTTGTTAGGGATTTTCTTTGGTCTTTGATGTCTCACTATGATGTGTCTATATGTGTATTTCTCTTTAGATATTCTGCTTGGCATCTATTACTTCATCTGAATCTGTGCATTATTGCCCTACATCAGATCTGGAAGATATAATGCTATTATCTCTTTAGTATAAGCATTTTAATGCTGTATATTTTCCTCTAAGCCCTGCTTTAGTTGCACCCCACAAATTTTAATAAATTGTGCTTTTATATTCCATCAGTTTCAACATACTTTCTAATTTTTCCTGTAACATCCTCTTTTACTAATGAGTTCTTCAGAACTGCTTTTTTAAATTTCCAAATATTTAAATATTTAAATTTCCAAATATTTGGAGATTTTCCTGACATTTCTTTGATGAGTAGTTTAATTCCATTGTGGTCAGGAGTGATACCTTGTATAGTTTTAGTTATCTTAAATTTAAGGTTTGTTTTATAGTTAAGGGTTCAGTCAGCCATTTTTTAAACCTAAAGATCTCCTTTAGGTTCTTAGTATTTCTCATGTGGATCTGCTGGCAACAAATTCTTTCTGCTTCTGTTTGTTTGAGAAACTCTTAATGTTGCCTTCATTTTTGAAGGATATTTTCACTGGTTATAGAAACCTAAGTTGCCCTTTGCCCCCTTTCTGAATTTTAAAGATTTTATAGTTTATGTTGAAAGTCAGCCATCAATCTTATGGAAAAAAAAATGTTTTCCCCCCGGCCGAATTTAAGAATTTAATTTTTTCCTTGAATTTCAAGAAGTTTAACAAGAATTGGAGAAGGAAAACCCGCCTGGAAATCCTGGAACCTCCTGAAACCTGGAATAAGCCGGTTTGGCCCCCTTAATAAAATCAATACACACAAAAAATATAAAACTCTTAGAAGAGATACTCACACAGAACAATTCAGACCTCATTATTTTTGGAAAACTCTTAGCCATTAATTTTCAAATACTGCTTCTATCCTATTCTATCATTCTTTTCTTTCTGGAATGCCAATTACATGTATGTTAGACCATTATGCTGTATCTCACATCTCTCTTAAGCATCATTCTTTTATTTCCATTCTTTTTTTTCCCTCTGTGCTTTAGGTTTAACATTTTCTATTGACTTGTCTTTGAGTTTACTAATTCTACCTTTTGTGTTTTGTCTACAGTTAAACCCATCAATGTGTTCTTAGTTTCAGATAGTGTATTTTTCAGTTCTAGAGTGTTTTTGTTTTTCATAGATTTCACATTTCTTTTGAAATTCTTAACTTTTTCATTTTGTTTATGTTTCTCTGTTACCATATTTAAAATAGTTATTTTAATGGCCTGCCTCCAGGGTCATCATCATCTATATGTCCCCTTTTCCTTATCTGTCACATTTTCTTCTTTTGTTCATCTCATAAGTTTGACTTTATGCCAGACATTCTGTTTTAAAAGAGCCAAGTAGACTGACAAGTAGCTGGGCCTACAGGGTTGCACTACCACATCTGACTAATTTTCTTTTTAATTTCAAAATATTAAGGAGGGTACAAATGTTTTAGGTTACATGGATCACTTTTGTAATGCTTGGGTCCTGACTAAAGGTGTGTTCATCACCCAAATCATATTCATAATACCCATTAGGTATGTGTTTGCCCCTCCCCTCCTCCTTCTTAACCTCTGGTTGATTTCCACTGAGTTTTATTTCCCTCCATGCATATGTATACTCATTGGTTAGTTCCAGTTTAATAGTGAGTATATGTGGTGTCTGTTTTTCCATTATTATTTTTTTTTAAAACAGGGTCTCACTCTGTTGCCTGGGCTAGAGTGTAGTGGTGTGATAATAGTTCACTGCAACCTCACAGTCCTGGGCTCAAGCAATCCTCCTGCCTCAGCCTTCCAAGTAGCTGAGACTATAGGTATACACCACTTAGCCTGGCTAATTTTTCTAATTTTTGTAGAGACAGGGTCTCACTCTTGCTCAGGCTGGTCTCAAACTCCTGAGCTCAAGTGATCCTCACCCCTCAGCATGCCAGAGTGCCAGGATTAGAGATGTGAATCACCATGCCTGCCCTGTTTTTCCATTGTTTTTTTTATTGAGAAAGAGTCTTACTCTGTTGCCTGGGCTAGAGTGCCATGGCATCAGCCTAGCTCACAGAAACCTCAAACTCCTGGGCTTAAGCGATCCTCCTGCCTCAGCCTCCCAATTAGCTGGGACTACAGGTATGTTCCACTGTGCCTGGCTAATTATATATATATATATATATATATATATTTTGTTACTTGTCCAGATAATTTCTTTCTATTTTTTTAAGTAGAAACGGAGTCTTACTCTTGCTCAGGTTGCTCTCGAACTCCTGAGCTCAAACTATCCTCCCACCTCGGCCTCCCAGAATGCTATGATTATAGGCGCGAGCCACCGCACCCAGCTTGTTTTTTCATTTTTGAGACACTTTACTTAGGAGAATGGTCTCTAGTTCCATCCAGACACTTTTTTGTAGAGAGAAGGTCTCTCTATGTTACCTGCGCTGATCTGGAACTCCTGGCCTCAAATGATCCTCCCACCTTTGCCTTTCAAAGCGCTGGGATTACTGGTGTGAGCCACAATGTCTAGCCCTTCTTGGGTTTTTTGACTACAAGCTTTGTAAGTCTTTGTCTCCCCAGCCCTTAAACATTGCTGGAGATTTGGTTCTTTCTTCAGATTTTTGAGCTTATTTCTTTAGCTTCCTCCCCTATGCTGCTTCAAAAACTGGCAAATACTCTTGAGATAGAGACTTGTCCCCTTTCTCTGGCAGGACTTTGTTTCCTAAGCATGCAAAATTAATAGCAATTTCACCTGCTTCCAGACCAGCTCCTTCCTTTGGTATAGCTCTGCAAGGCCTTTAATTGAGAGTTTTATGTGTCTCTATCTCTTCAGGCTTAAAAGTTCTGCCCTTTGACGTCTTGAGATTAGGTCTTTGGCTTCACACCCACTCATGTTGAACTCTTTCAAATGTCTTGAGTGGGGAGAACTGTGTTATGTTTGTTTCAAAACCCTTCTTCTATCTGGACCTTGGATTCTAAGCACCAGGAGACTATAGCAGATTTCACTTTGTGTTTCATCTGCCAAACCTGAGGCTGGAATCACCCCAAAAGCAACAGCAGGGAATTTCCCATGTGGCGGCATCCCAAACAGTCCCAACATAGGGCCAGTTGGGATCCCGAAAAAGGAAACAAGCACCAGACACTAGAAGGATCAGTTCAAAACATTTATTAGAGGAACTGACTTACAGAGTGCTGCAGCAGTCCTAGAGATGGACAGCAAAAGAAAAGGGGTGTTCTACCTAGGTATGATGGCAGTGAGTGGGTCAGATTACAGAGTTTGTATGAGGGCTTAAGGAATTTGGCTCAGGGATGGTACTAGTTTCTTTCGGTGTTTTGGGTAACAATCTAGATACCTTTATGAGTGCCTGGGAATATTCAAGGCCCCAGTTTGGATTTAAGCCTGTTGGAAAAAACCTGCAGCTGTCTGGTCACAGAGTGGTCAAGGCATTGGGATTTTTGATCGGG